ATAAAAACACTGCAGCCAAACTCGCCTGAGATGAGGAGAAATTGAAACGTAAAAAAGTACTATCAACAAAATAAGTATGGAAGGAAAGAAAGTCATACAGCTGACCAGAAGGGTAGAACGAAAGAAAACTGCGAAGAGAGAAAACAAAAAAAAAACAATTAATGTCAAACTCACTTCTTCACTTGTGGTGTCTTAATTACTGGTTCAGGCGTTTCTGGTTGTGGTGTAGGCTTTTTCTCCTCATGCTCTAAAGATGCTGGTGTACTTGGCTCTTCGAAATGTCCAGATTTCTTCAATTTTTCCTTCTCTTTCTCCCGTTGCTTTCTCTTCGTAGAATAATCCGTCAAATGAACACGTCGTCGTGCCTTATGAAAATGAATGGAAGTTTAGTACAAAGCATAGATATGTTAGCTAATACTAATATAACGTTGTATTGAAGGAATACCTTCTTCTTCGTTTTTCCAGGAGTCTCAGTTCCAGTAGTCTCATCGGCGCCTGATTCCTCCTCAACGTCTCCCATCTAAATATTGAAAATACGAAGAAAATATTTCTATAAAATGTTTAAGAAGTCAAAGCATAATCGAGAAAAGTTTGTTTCATTAAAAAATATGAACAGATCCCGATCGTCCACATAAAAATCAGCAATCCATAATAAGTTTGAAATATGTCAACTTATGAGTTCCCGAAACCACTCGCAAGTGAAATTGCTATCCTAACAATGCTAGTTACCAACGAGATGAGCTATACCTCGCTATCTTGTCGCTCGCTACCGCTTTCATGCTCTTCTTCCGACTCATCCTCCCGTTTTCGCTTCCCACCCTGCCTTGAGGCGGACGCTCGCGGGGTACCTAGATGTTATATCAATACGTAAAGGTATTGAAAGGCAATTGAAGATAACAGCATATTCTATGAAATTTCCTCTGTAAAACCTACGACTTGATCTTGCACTTGTTGGCGGTTTTCTGACAGTCGGTGGAACTCCGACCATTGAGCGACGTTCATGCCGCTCTTCTTCACCCATGATCTGGAAGGTAAGATCGTAAGTTTAAAAGAAAAGAATCTAGTCAAGATGTACGCATGAGAAAAGAACAGATGCAATAAATATAGTAATGAGGAACACCCATGAAAACGAATCGGACGCTTATGCTTGAGAAAAATTAAGATCAAGAGGTACCAGAGTTTCAGCTCAACAACACTAATATAGGAAAATATAGCCAATTAGGAGCGGCTTCCAGGCAATTTAGAAAAAAGCGATCACTATACGTTTAGAAAAACCTTCTA